GGCAGTATTTTAATTCAGCGTGTGTGTGTGTGTGTGTGTGTGTGTGTGTGTGTGTGTGGTGCTGATTAGCAGTCATCTCAACCAGCGAGGCATTCAGACATTCACTTATTATCTCTAATATGGCAGCAACTCTGCTGAGTTCAGCTTCGAAGGGTTTTTATGTCTGACTTTTTAGTGAACTCAACTGGTAAGCGTCAGTATTCAAGGGTTGGAGTCAAATATATTTGCAATTATATGGATAGCACATCATAATTGAACAGGAAGCCACAAAGAAGATAATGAAGCTTTATCTTTAGCTTGATAAGTCCTTTGCTCCTTCACATAAAACCCTTGATGAAGTGGTAACTACATAAATGGGAAGGTTATGAATATGTATGCTATGAATTCTTCTTTTATAAGAAAGGTGTCCGAGTGTGCTTAGAAACTAGGGCTGCAAATAATAATGATTTCCCTTTTTTGTTTTTGTGTTTAAGGATTAGGGTGCCGTTATTCTATATTTTTCTTTTTGTCAACAAATCCTATGAAAAGCCCAAAACCCACAATCTGTTAGTCCTTCTCTGAATAAGTTCTAACTTCCCTAGAAAATCAGTTTTACTCATAAGCCTATTTCTTCCTATTGAAAATATAATTATTTTAAACCAGCTCACAAATATTTTTCTAGTTTAAAAAATTTTAGTTAAACAGGAGTAAATAGTTCATTTGTTGGGGACTATTTTCAGCTGTGGAATAATACACATTTGGTGCACTGTTAAGTTTTTACAGCAACAGGATGCTGTGGGATTGACTCAAAATGAACTACAGTGCTACTAATGTCCATTGTAGAAAGAAAGGAACATGAGCTACATATCAGACTTCGGCTACATAGAAAACACTTGTCATTTAAATTAGATCAATTCATTGTTTTTGGTCTTTTCATTAGATTTTTTGTCAAAAAGGAAAATATAGAATATTGCCCTTAAATTGTTTATTTTACCTATAAAATTTCAAAACTTTGACAAATGCCATCCAAATTGCTGTCTGACCAACAGTAAACAAACACAAATGCAACCAGTGAATGTTTGAACTTTTTAAATGACTATATAATATAGTTAGTAAGGATACTTAAGTTAGTTAAAAAATACTTAGTTAGTTAAAACTCTTCCAATGACTGTCCCACACAATGGCAAGCACCATACTGCATACGTGGATTAGCTTGAAGAATTACGGTCCACCCCAGGTAAAACAGGGAGTCTCCCCGTTTTATCTTAGGTGGACCTTTGCAATGAATTTGGACATAAACCTTTCAAGGATTTATGAGGGAGACGCATGCTGTATTTAATTTGTATACACTGCCGTGCAATGTACCTGGATTATTTTGTGGATTATATATTCGTGCTTTAATTGTAGCTTACTCCCTACATAGTGTTGGCAATAGGTCTTTTTTTACATCAGACCTTTATGCTTTTTTTTTCTCTATCCCATTACAGTCCTAGATCACTTATGATGTGTGTTAATGATAGTTGCAAAGGGGGTCTGAGAGAAAATGGTTTACATTTCAAAACAGGGTTCAGCCACACAGCTGAGTGGATCATCTGTGTGCCTCTTCAGCCTGCCATCACTGCTGGTGTTCAGCCAAACCAGAGAGAAAACCCAGCCAAACTTTGCCCATATATACATTTCATTAGGAATAATACCCTGCATATCGCAATCTTTATTCCCTGCACATCCTGTTGCAGACCACAGGTAGCATATGGTGCTGAATATGCAGTGATGAACAATAAACCTCAATTTAAACGTAAATCAGTCATTTTCTAGCCATGCCATTCTTTTAAAAGTTTGACACTGAAGTTAACTTCTGAATTTCAAAGTTGTAAAATTTTTATTTGGACTGAGACACCACTGTGATGAGAGACTGCCTGGTCAATTCTTGAACTTTGTCTGAATCATGGCTGTATTCAGACAGTGTCATCCAACTCGTATAAGTAAAATATGGGGCGCTCTAAAAAATGTGTCAGATTTTATCCCTGAACTGACAAGGGCGTTAAGGTTCCAGTTCAGAGAGGAGAGAGAAAAACAGATGCATCATTTAACTGATGACACACAGAGAGAGAAAGGCAGGAGACAAGACCCAGTGTGCTATATTTTTGACCCAATAACAAAATGATACCGTGCTCAAGATTGGGATTGTGAGGGCTCAAACAATCACAATAGGAGGAGCGCCAAACGGCAATGTTATTATTAGAGAGACACCAACACAGATAGACAGGTAGAAGGATGCGCTGCTACACAGAGGGGTGTAATAAAGACAGAAAGGAAGATACGTGGATGGAGAGATAGAAAAAGAGAAAGTCCTTGGTTTAAAACAGAGCTTAGCTTGTTTAGTTGTGTGCTGACTGATACCTGGACCAGAAGGACCAGCTATTCTTACGAGGCAACCCACATTTCTGCCACCTCTGACCAGTGATACAAACCTTAAGTTGAAAAAAAAAACACTCAGACATTCATGTTTGATGATCCGCTTCTGGGATTCGATGCCACTGACGGAAGAGTAACCAGAACATATGAATCAAGCAGTTCTTGTCAAGAAGAAATCACGCCCCCTCCAGTGCTTTGACTGACAGACATATATTTGCTGTCCACTCAAAGCAGGCTACAGTTCACTTTTGGTCACAACAAAGATAAATGTAGTTTTGTCCTCTTCGGTTTCCTGTTCAACCATTTGCAGCCTTTCTGCAAGTTCAGATTTGTGTCCATTATTTTTGAAGAGTTCTTCATTGTGTAGAGAAGAGTTTCTGTAATGGTTTATCGGTTCCTCAGTACAATGGTGTCTGGGAATGGCTTTCTGTTGGTCTCAGGGTCTGGAAGAAACAAATGTACTGTGCTTGATGAGAGACAAAGTGACAGATATTTCAAAGAGTCGAAACAAAAGTACTTACTAGCTCAGAAATCTATAGTCATGGTAGTGTTTTGTGTTATTTGCCAAACTTGTTTCTTAGGTCTTATTTTGTCATGTCTTCCCTTTTTTATTATTTCTAATTGGCCGTTTGCTAAATGCCTGGACCCCATAAATACTGTTGCTACACCTGTTTTAGGTCCAGTGTTTAGGATTTAATGGTGTCTAGTGGTGAGGTTGCAGATTGCAACCAATTGAATCCCGCTCACCTTACCCTCTCCTTCAAGCGTATAGGAGAAACAATGGTGGCAAAACTTATGAAAAATGTGAAAAAACGGCCTAGTTGGCAGACTCTGTGGAAGAGGACCCGTTCCCTCTGTAGATAAACAACTCATTGTAAGGTAACAAAAACACAACGATTTGAAATGTTACACACTGGACCTTTAAGTTTCCCTTTTTAGCACTAGAGAAACTGCAACACAGTTAAAACATTAGTCGTTTTTTAAACAATGGGTTCTTGATTTCAGACAGAGACCTGCTGCGTCTAGTTGTGTTTTAAGCTACGATTGAACCCAATTTTAGGGGACAGGTTGGCGAATGATCAATTGGTCAACTGTTATAGGGTATCAGAGAGTAAACCATAAATAAATGAAAAGATGGTTGCTTTAGGATAAGCTGAAACTTAAATAGTTATGTGAACAATTTGTTGCAGAAGCATAATAAAAAAAAATGGATCAAGGAAGAAAAATAGAAATAAATATAGAACCAAAATGATTTATATGTATCACATAAGATGGGTTTTTTTGCAGATGACATTCAATTAATATTTGCTGTTCCTCACCTTTCCTGAGGTTCGAGGAATTGGTTATTGCACAAGGCTATGCAGGGCTGGTCTTAGACGTTGCTGCGCAGTAGCCCCCCCTGTGGGTGCTCTGGAGTACTGCACTCTGAGGAGTTCTTGGCTTTGTCCTTGTTGTTGTTGGGCTCGTTGTCTTTGATGATGTCATACTGACGACAAAACAGGGCGATCACCCCTGGGAGACAAACAGACAACAAAATTATTTGTTAGAATAATAACGTTTGATAAAATTCAAGATCCGTTATTAGAGCTGGAACCCTGGAGCTGGTAATGGTTTTAGTGTTTCGCTTGATGTCATTGTGTCACATGATATTATGTCATGTCATGTCTGGGTTAGTTTAGGAAATGTTATTAGATATGTGTATTGACATACAGTTTATTGTATTTATTTATCTTTACAAACCCCAAGGCCAGTGCCTCGCAATGCCATCAGTGTGTGAATGAGTGAATGAGAGGCAGAATTGTATCACTTTGTCTGTTAAGGTAGAAAAGCACTACATAAATGCAGTCCATTTACCACTTAAATACCGTTCTTAGTAAAAACACTGTTTTAGTGTGCTTTAAAAGTGCTGGTAGATTATTTTACCTCTGGACAGAGCCAGCTGTGTCACTCTGTTTCCAGTCTTTATGCTAAGCTAAGCTACACAACCTGCCTCTAGCTTCAGATTTAAGATTTCCTCATCTAACTCTTAATAACTCTTAAAAAATAAAGTGAATAAGCATATATCCAAAGATGTCAAATTTTTCCTTAAAGGATTAGTAATACAATTTCATTTGGCTGTATCCTGCCTGAATTAATCACATATTTTCAAATGTAATCTTTTTGTTTGAACTTATAACATGAACAAAAGGTTCACTTCCATGACAACTGAGCAAACTTCATCTGGACCATGTGATATTACCAAAAGCCCCAGAACAATGCGAGTAAGAGGGCATTGAGTGGAAATTGTTTTGCCAATTTTAACAGCATCCTGAATTTGCATTAATCTGCTCCTGAATCAAGCCGAAAAGAAGTAATTAAAGCCTCTACAATGTTGTATATATATGTTATATTCAACCTCTATAATGCCTATTTGTTATTCACTCTTTTGAATTTGGTTTTAAGCCATATACACCTTGAAACATTAATACACAGCAACACATTTCTTTCAATAACAGATTTATCCAGTTGTCTTTTGATGTATCAGTAACGCTGACCAAACTGAAGTTAGAGAAACATGAATACAGTGAAACAGCCAGAAGGAGATATGAACTTGATGATAAGATAGCTATGTTAAGCCTGCCTTCAGTCAGAAAGATTAAAAACATGGCAGAGGGGAGATAGATGCAGAGAGAGAGAGAGATAGAGAACAAGCACAAAAAAGAAGAGAGAGAATAATTCATGATGGTGGAGGAGCGCGTGGAGGGTTCAGGCAAGAGGAATCTGGCCTGAACAGGCTTCAGTCTTGGCTGTTATGCTTATGTCAGCCTCTGCTCATCTGATGACTGCAAAACCAAAGGCCAAGATGGGATATCTCACTGTGATATCCCCCAGCGTGCCCCATAGGCCCAATTAAAAGCTGAAAAACACAATTCGCCTCCTCCACTTTCCGTTTTTTTCCACCATTCTGCCCTCCTTTTTTCCTCTTCTTGAGATTCCATAGCTCCGTTTTTCACTCTTTTCCCTCACTGCTCCCTCTCTAACCCTCTTTGAATCTCCCTCTGTCTCTCTCATCCTCTCGTCCTCTCACGGGTAATTGGTGAGATTTTGCTGTTACTGTATATGCCATGATAGGTATTTGGGCCATATTTGTATCTCATTACACTTGGGGTTGTGGGTTCGGAAGGAATATTTATAGCTACGTGCAACTGTAAAACAGTGCTGAGATGCACAAAAGGATAATTGCAACACAGAGCTAATGACTAGGAGGCTTAAATAGGAAGCAGCTACAGTCTTGTAGTTTGAAACAACAGAAAAAACAGAAAGTATCCTTATTAACCAGGAATGAACCAGTTAGCAGAATACATTTCTTTTCATAATTTTTTTATACTGTATTAGCAGAAAAGTAAACTTTTAAGTAGACAACATCCTCTATCCTTAGACCCTCTATTTGGATAAGGAATGTTTTATGTATATGAATTTATTTTATGTATCTCATCAGGTTTGTGTTTATGTTCTGTTTCACCTGGCTGCAAGACAAATGACCATCTGGGGACAATAAAGTTTAAGGCATACTATGCAGGATTTGCCCGTTGGTGTTTGTACACGCACCATTCAAAGTTGGCCCTTGCTCCCTGGCTCGACGGAGCCAGAAAGTACCTTTGGTCAAGCAGCATAGAGAATGAATGAGGAGAGGGAGTGACATTAGCAAGATCAAGGCAGTAAGTCCGAGGAATAAAATGTTATTTGATGATTGTTTCAAAGCGGTTGCATTATAAAGCACAAATAAACACCTCCACACAACCCTGCAGGCAGGTGCCATATTTCTAGATTTTGTGAGAATGCCACTGAAGCGTAGCTTCAACCTGTCCGCCCTCAGTCAAACAGGCACTGACACACAGACCCGCAGCTCGATCTGCATCTAAAACACAGACCAGGAGCAATGGAGAGAAATAGACAGAGACAGCGGTGCAACCTGGTACGTCACACACTGTGAGCTGCCCAAATGTTGACTCCCAGAAACGTCCCTGACACAACACAATAAGAAAATACAGGCAGAGAGCATGATCTCTGCAAATACAGACACTGCCACACACTTCTAGTGTGTCAGATGTCGAGACTGCGAGGGATTATGTTTGTAGGAGTCTACACTAAACATTGTTTTTAGGAAAATCCTGTAGTATGCCTTTAAACAAAATTATTTGAAGAATTTGATTGATTGGGAAAAAAACGTAATCTGATCCTGAATCTCAAACTGAGATACATTCTATCTGTATATCTGGATGGGTTTAAAGATCTTAAAGCTCAGTGTGTTCTGATCACCAAAAATGTTTTTTGGCCAGCATCCCATCATCCCAAAAGCCCTGCAGGGCACAAAATAGTGATCACAGAGATATGACACTTCCACCAGACTGTTTGTCTCCTAATTGAACCTCAGTCAGAGAGCTTATTTGCCCCAAAGACCCCCAATTCCTGCAGTGATAAATGTGCGTTGCTGAAAAGGAACATTACCTGCCCACATGATGAGCACCACTACAATGATGATGAGTTCTCCAGCCCTCAGCTGGGCAGCGTGACCAAACTCCTCCATTGTCACCTCGTCTGGAAAGAGAAAACACACACACACACACACACACACACAAAGAGTCAACAATGTGCCGCTGAGGACACTGCGATTCATTGTCCCAGAGAGAAGATGTGAAATTGCCATCACTCTGAACCTCTGCAGGGAAAGATAAAAAGAATAAAACAGGGCGACAGGAGAGCAGAGAGGCTGCCTGGTGTAAATTCTCCACTCTGGTCAGTGTAATTAAAGCTAAGTGAGAGCAGAGGTCCACAGAGACAGAGAGAGCTGGATCCAAACCCAATCATTCACTGTGTTTCTCTTGCTGACGGGATTCTGGCAGCTGCAGCACAACACCAATCACAGGGTTAGAGGTTTGAACACAGCCTGGACTAGAACCTCTCGCTCTCTGTTGCCAACAGCAGGTCTCGTGCTACCACACCTTTCCCCTGGTCTAACTGGCTCCCTGTTGCAGCCAGGGGGTGGTTTCCTTGGCATAGCACTGTATAATATCAAAGGGATGGCATCAAGACATCACTCAGCTGTCTTTGGTTGCATTTTAAAGGGTTTGCAAAGGAGGAGGAAGCCTTAAGAACCCACAGGGTTGGCGGCGGTCACTATCCTGTTTCAGCGTCTGGATGAGTCGAGGGTGGTGGTGCTGCTGTGGTCCAGCTTGCTCTCAGGTCTCTTGTTGCCATGGTGATTCATCGGAGCCAAAGCTGAGGCCTCAGGCTTCACAGAGGGGAGGTTGCTCTTATAAAGTTGGTAATGGCAGGTTACGTGTTCCCGTTCGAGGGCAAACCTCAGATGGACAGTTCTCTGAATCAGATATGCCTGTGTTGGGTACGACATTAAGCTGAAAGTTGAGGTCTACATCTCTCTGTATATTATATTAATATGTGATATTATATGAGCTTTGAGTTGTGTTCCATAGTCAATAGTTAAAGCGTAAGACAGGAGTTTAGTGAAACTCTATCGTGACACCCATTGGTTTGTGGAGTACCATTTCGAATAGAGAGAGGGGATGACACTTATTACAGGGCCACAGGTCGGAGTTGAACCCATGGCCGCTGCAGCAAGGACTTGGTACAAGGCCAGCTCTACCGGACTCTACCGGTACAGCTCTCATTTTCCATTTCTAACAAAGAGGTATGACGTGGGTGGCGGATTTGGAGTGGTTTAGTGGCAACTTTGACAAAGCAGGGCTGACAAACAACAACAAAAGTAAAAGTAATGAGGAATGTAATTCCTGTAATCAGCAAGTAATTAGTAATGTCATTTCTTTCAGAGTCATGAGTAATGTGTAATTAATTTCATTTTTCAAGTACCTTGCCCATTGTTTGACAAACACACCACTTTGCTTTCAGTTCTGTGACCTTTAACCCTGTATGCAGAATCAAAATATTGAAAGAAATTACACAAAGCTGTATTGATAAAAAGAGAGCAATTTCAAAAACTGACAGGTAAAGCGGTTGGTCTGTTAATCAAGTTAGGCCTTGATAAAAGCCACATAACCTGATTACTGTACATGGCAGATACAATAATCGAAGTAGCTTTAATTAGGCTATAATCAAATTATTAGATCACTGTTGACTTGTGTGTCTACTACTATTCACAAGTGTGTATACTGTGGTTGTAATTGGAACTCTTCATTAAATGTAAAACATCAAGCCATAAAAATAATCTAGCAGTTCAGTGTGGCCTGTCTCATTCACATAAGTAGGCCTACATGCCTCCACCATTCACAACTTAAAGGTCCAGTGTGTAACATTCAGGAGGATCTATTGGCAGAAACAGCATATCATATTCGTCAATATGTTTATATTAGTGTGTAATCACCTGAAAATAAGAATCGTTGTGTTCATTACCTCAGAAAGAGCCATTTTTATTTACAGACGCCGCAGGTCGCCTTCCATGGAGTCCACCATGTTTGTACAGTAGCCCAGAATGGACAAAACAAACACTGGCTCTAGACAGGGCTGATCACTTTTTTTGTGTGTTTCACAGCCACTATGGTTACCCTCTTATGCTTAGAAAGGGAGGGTGAAGCGGGTGAGTTCCCATCTGCAATCACATCATTAGATGCCACTAAATCCTACACACGGGACCTTTTAAAGCTTTTGTTTTAAAGACTACTAGGAAGAACAGAACGGTGTGGTTGTACTGGGGAAATGTGTGTAAATGTGAAGCAGGCTGCTGCTGCACCACTGTCAGAGATAAATTAACAGTTGAAACAGTTCTGACAGTTAGGAGGCTCTGTAATGTTGTGCTGCTGTATAAGATTGATGTAGAAAGCTTTTGCAGCTCCTTGTATAATGTAATAACCAACATTAAACATTATATCTCAACACTAGCCACCAAAGATTGTACTACATTATGAAAAATTCAGTGCATCCAGGATTTTTGCAATATTTTGATGTAATTGGATGTAAGCTGCAGAAACAGGGATACAAAGAAAGACTAACAGACAAACAGACAGAAACACACACAGATTGTGTGTTGTGTTGCGCCTGCAGATACTAAATGGTGTCAGGCTGATTAATACCTGCTTAGAAGGGGAGGAGAGCAGTAATGGCTGGGAGATTTAATCAGGACAGCTAATGAATGTTTCCATAAACACACATACACACACACACACACACACACACACACACACAGGGAACTTCCATCAAAGTCGGAGCAAACTAAACGAGTCAGCCCCTCAACATCAAGACAAACGGTCCCACTAAATGCCTATGTCACACGACCTCACCTACACCGCAACATATATTGTGACAAATATTTCTGTCTAATACTGTCAATATTTTGAATTTTCCTCTAATACATTAACTTGATACAAGATTTTTTATTAATCAAGTTGCTCCCAATTGAGTGCTGAACTGTGACTTGGTGATGTCTAATTTGTGAAGCTGGGACTTTTTGTAATCTGATCAGTTTCATCCAAAGCCTTTCCAAAACTAAAAACACAAGATCACAGGTGTAATGAATTGATTATACAATGTGTTATGTCAATGTGTGTCTGTTCTAACATAAGCAGCTATCATTAGCATGTCAGGCTAAGTAGCTCACCATATACAGTAGCATGACTTCTAACGCCAGTGAGCACATTGTCATTAACTAACTACATTAGTTTGTGTGGATAAAGGTTACAATAAAAAAAACCCTGTTCATGATTAGAACATCCAGTGTGTTGTCGCCACTGCATGGAAGCCTCTTGCAATATTAAAAGTGAAAACATATGACCCAAGTATGTAAACGAAGCAGCCAAAAATGGTTATATCCTATGTTAGAGTCTGATCTTCCAATTTTCATTTTCATACCTACTGTATAACTAGGACTAGCTAGCTCGCTGCTCTACACTGCAATACATGAAGACTGCTGTTTCTTTATTTTCATGTCTTGCACATATCATCATCTGGTGAGGATGCTGACTTTTTGCACGGGGCGTGCAGCTTTAGTCATTTTAACATAGTGGCATGTGGCCATCAAGTGCACATATTTAGAAAGTTCTTGGTTTAAGCCAGCTAATGCAGCTAATGCTAGCTAGCCACAGTGAATTAAATCTGGCAATCTACGTGTAATTATGAATCTCACTGCTTTTCTTATCAAGAAATTAATTTAATTAATTGAGCAGTTGTCAATTATTAAATTAATCGTCAAGTATTTTGATGATGGATTAATCGTCGTGATTCTGAAAAAAAAAACCCAAATTCTCTGATTTCAGCTTCTTAAATGTGAATAATTTCTGCTTTTTTAGTTCTCTGACAATAAATTGATCTTTGGGTTATGGACAAAACAAGATTAACATTTTTCACCATTTATTTACATTTTATGGGCCAAACAACTATTCGACTAATAGAGAAAATCATCAGATTAATCTATATTCGTAATGCATTTTCCTGAGTGGGATCAATAACGTCTATCTTTTATCCTTCTTATCTTAAATAATCAGTAGTTGCAGTCCTACAGGTGACGCAGTTTAAAGAGCTTGAAAGAGCAGTTTGCATAGGTTTAGTTAACAGAAATACTTGGTTAGGTTTATGAAAAGATCATCCAGAATAGGCCCTTTCACAACATTAACCACATCCTTTCTGGCAGAAAGCTTTCCAGCATGAGGACTGAAGGCAAACTTATCCCATTCGTGTGAGCATGGGCCCCTGAGGATTCCTAACACTTGAATGCTATCCAAGAAAAGCAGTGGGATTTATAACAACACAGCAGCTACAGTTGTCATTTCAGCCGATAAAATGAGAAGCCTACTTTTGTCTACCTCTGACTGAAATCAAAGGCCCATTGTTTCAATCTTTGTTAAGAATTTTTATGGTCAGTCTGCTACTGTCGCAGTGTTGTGTGAGAACAGAAAACTTGCCAAGAGTAGGAACAAGACAAATGGTCATTTGGAGGAAAAATGGCCACTTAGTGCCTGAAATGTCACTTAAATACTGCAGAAAAGACAAAATGCTTTGTTAGTGTTAATGTTATTTTGTAGTGGTTATCACACTTGAACCACCCAAGCTGCCCCCAAGGACCTCGACATGCTCCCACACAGGGTGTTTCAAGGGAATACACTGCTCCCTCATGTCCCCCGTTTCCACTCTTATCACCTTGCTGGTGATGAGCATTTAGCATTTGCGGTGTCCCTCTGAAGCAGCTGCTCTCGGCACTGTAACTGGGTCGGACATGATAAAATTGGAAGTACTGCAAGCTGCTCCAGATAACAGCAGCCTCTGCATTTGAGAATTAGAACAATACATTGTATGGGAGGTGGGGAGCGGTTCTCACAAAGACAGCAATTTCTTTCTCTTTATGTGTATTACATTTTCAAATAACCATTTTCGTTGTCATGATGAAGCATGAAAACACAAACAGAACATTAGTACTCTGACTAGTGACTGCCTCTGGTTAAAAGCTGCTATTAAAATCTGTGCATGTAGGTTTGTGTGTGTCAGCAAGGGAAAAACATCAGAAGAGAAGTACGTCAGATTTATAATTACGTTGTTTGTCGTTTGTGCTCTTGCATGTATTGGGTTTTAATAATCCATCTGCCTGTGTATGTGTTTGCAGCATGTGCTGTGCAGAAGGGAAAACTCATACTGTTTGTGTCAGGCTCGTCGCGTTTGTCAGTCGGTTTTGGCTTTTGACAGCTTCCACTAAAAAATGCATGAAATTTTGCAATGGAAAACATCACTTTAAGGGTTTTTGCACACATCTTTTATGTCCCCATGGAACCAAGAGGACACTGATCACAGTAGTTTGCATTCTGAGCTTCCAGAAACTGTAAATGAAGATAGAATCAGGGACAAATAAACTACTTACTAAGCACCAGTACCAGTGCTTGCTCTAAAGTAATTGCATTCGTACTGTAAATTGTATTCTTCAAGTCCCCCTTCACTGTGCAGAATGATGTATGTGCAGAGTTTGACACTAGAAGGATAACGAATAATAATGTTTTATGGTCCCTCACCTGGGCTCTTGGACGCCATCTTCTCTGACTCTTTGGGCGTTCGGAAGAGGACCGGCTCACTGGGGGGGCTGCTGCCTCCCATGCTGATGCTCTGAACATGAACGATGTACTCCGTGTCCTCATCCAGATCCCACAATGCACAGGAGCGCGTGGTGGTGTTCACTTCCTGGATGAACCTCAGCATGCGTACATCCTTCTTCTGCAGACAAGCGAGGAAGAGAAAAGCAGAGGCCAGGTGGCTCGATGTAATGTGATACTTTATTGATCCCCGTAGGGAAATTCTCTTTTCTTTGGCACCATCTCAGCAGGGAAGTCACAGCTCGGGGTTAAACTGATGCATCAGACAACCGCTTGATACTTTGTAACCAGAGATTAAGAGTGGGGTTTGATTCTAAATGTTACTCTTTTTAATTTCTTTGACATAAAAATGTTATTGTAATTTCAAGATAACATTGTCCCCAAAGTTACAATATATGCAATCAATACCCTGTATCACTTTAACTAAACTTACAAGTTCGGCTTCATTGTTCTCCCTTAAGGCAAGGGAGAACAATGGCAAAGGCAAAAAAAGAGTTTTCTACTTATTCGCAAAATTTCCTTGCATTCTTTATCAAACGCAAATTTCTGTTGGTCAGATTTTCCTGCTGACTATCCCTTTTGTGAAAATTCAACAAACTGCCCCCTGGGTAGGGCTGATATGGTGTGAAAGCATAGGAGTCTCTCTTGGTTAACAGTTGGGAAAAAAGCTGAAATAAAGCCTCCAAGTGGTTTTCCTGCAGTGTAATTAAGCTTAAAGAAACAGAGTGCTTCTCTGGCCATGTGCGCTCTGCTTGAAATGTACCTTATTATCCAGCTAGGACTGCTTGCTCAGGTCAATTGGTTTGTGCTGGATCAAGAATAACTCTCCTTGGGGTTTTTTTATTTACCGGGCAATTAAAGAAGGATTTACTTAACCTATTTAAACAGCACACAGACTAAATGTACATCTGAAAGTGCATCTAATAAAGCTAATTGGATGCAAAACCAAAACAAAAAACAGATCAATGGGACATTCCCAACCTTAGTGACATCCACACATATTGATTATATTATATATTGATAAGTTAATATTAATGGCTTTTTTCACTACTATTATTATTATTGGTCTTACTTCTACTTGAGGAATAATCATCCTCTGAGTTTTGGAACTCCAGTACCCATAACACTTTGAGAGATATACAGGAATACTGCCATGGATCAAGCCCCCAGGAAGTGCACCGGGCTTTGAAGCCAATTTGACATAGTCGCTGTAATTACAGCACTGTGATGCACGCTGGCCCAAAAAGAATAAGGCTACATTGTGAAATAAGCGGCTGTAGAACGGTGGATCATTATTATTTTTTGGATAACATTTTAAAAGTCTAGAAGATTCAGAAGAATCTTGATTTATCCTCCTGTTAAGTGAACAGAGGGATAATCCGGACACCAGCCAGCAGAAGTCTCACTGTGGTGTATGTATTCATCCGGGTAATTTCTTCGCAGTGGGAAGTGGCTTTTTTTTGGCTTCATGCGCCACTGAGCATGAACAGAGCACCGCCTCCTGCGCTATATCAACAACTTCAACCCTGTTTTTTATAGCCTGTATGTTTACATTTTGCTGAATTGCAACATTACCAGTATGCCAAATTAGCATTTACTGTTGGCAGTGTATCTGTGGATGTACACACAACTATCATTGGATTACTGAAGAAAACTTAAAAATGTGGGGATTCTTGGGCAAGTTTTGGAGTTATAAGCAACATAATTTCTCTAAGATTATTAAACAGATTTACGGACATTTATTGGTGATGGATATAAGTCAAACTGAATCTAACAATGTATGTATAATGTATGTGTGTTTATGACTCAGAAAGAGAGTGTCATTTTGTGAAGCTGATTGCAGAATTCAGGCGCTAAGGTTTTGAGGTACCTTAATATCCCCAACGAGCTGTGTGTCACAGCCACTGCTGCATCTGTTGAACCCGATGTTGAGCAGAACAAACTGTAAATTACTTCCTGTTGTTTTTAGATTCACCGGCATGCACCTGTCTCTTTCACCTGAGGTCCTTTCTTTTGCTTCATGTGTCTCTCCCTCCTTTACAAAAACTTCTAAACTACGTCCAAAGTTCTCGCCCTCTCAGAAACACATAAAGGTACCTGTTGGGTAATGGCGAATCCGATAACGGGGTCCCCTTCCAAGATTTCCCATGTGACCACGGCGGAGTTGACCTCAATCTCTCTGATGGTCACATTGAGCGGAGCTGACAGCATGGCGTCTGACACACACGCACATGCAGCGTGGCCACAGAAAACAAATTAGAAGAGACAGGTCATGAATATTGAGTCGGTACAACTTGTAATACATATAATAGATGCTGCATTGTAGACCTGAACGCACATACTCCCATCTCCATTGCTCTCTCTCACTCTTTGAACTCTTTCTTCTCTTGCTCCCTCGCCCCACCTTCCCTAAATTCTTCTCTTCTCCACCTACAAATTAATGTTTCTGCTTTCATTAATACCAGGCCTAATTAACCACACAGATCTCTTGGTGTTTCCCTTGAAAAGCCTCTCTTTCTCATCTGTCTTCGTCTTGGTATTTCTCTCTCTCTCACACACACACGCGCAAACACATCTTTACCTTCTTCTCTCTTTTCTCTCTTCTTTCTCCCACGCGCATCTCATTAAAGTCTGACTCACCAGGATGTATTTCCTCTGTTATACTGCCAATTGATTTGAATGTTTGAGCTAAAAAAACTCACATCCTAGAATTCGGTGTCCAATGTCTGTTGATCAGGAGATTAACTATAATGGATTATTATTATAATTATAGTCTTGCTTAACTTTCTTTCCTCTTTAACTGTAACGGGAGGCCAGAGTGGTAGGGCGTGTGTGTGTTTGTGTGTGAGCTGAGAGCAACTCAAGGTCTTCTATGATCAGAGTCAGGGCTATATTTCCCATGAGCCAGACTTGTGAGAGCAACGTCAGAGTCAGACCTTGACACTGCACTAGAACACACACACACACACACACACACACACACACACAGGATTAGCAATACATTTTATTTATTCTGTTCTGTGCAGTAAATACTGCCAATGGACAAGCACATATACCAATTCCAGTTCATTTAAATGTTTTTTTTCCTCTCCTAACAAAACTACTATTCCATATAATTTGCATGTGCTGCCACAATTGAATCTTTCCTTGTAAATGCTGGACTATTGTGTCTTAAACCAGCTATAATCAAAATGTTTATATCAACAGTGGATGACTACTAATATGTGAAAGTGGACACGCACCCAAGTGGCCAAAAATCACTTATACTTATAATCACTTATACAGAAAACATTAGGATGATGGATAATAATTTCACACCTCCAGTCATTTCAATGGGGAAAAGGCGGCAGAGGGGAAGTGGTTTGGATGGCGGCAGTAAGGGTATTAAAGCGATTGCTGACCACATGTATATGCACAGATGTTGCTCTGCCACCCAAAGTTCACAATGCTGAACATCTGGCAGTAACCCCTGGCTTTGACCTATCAAACAGTAGGGGGTGGGCATCGTGGGTCAGAAACAAGAGCAAGCAAGGACGGCGGTAACTGCTTTTAGGGACAACCAGAAGAAAAACTGGGCCTGGGAAAACATTTCCACCAGACTTCAGATGATGGTAAATTGTCCAAATATGTAGACGTCTTTGGTAATTTCAGTAATTTTCATTGTACATACAGTGGACTTTTGGGTTGTTCACCGAAGAACCTGCTTCCTACCTGTCAGCTGTAGGTGGCAGCAGCAGCCATTTTTAAAAATGCTTAACTTCTTGGGGGAATGCTCTTGGAGAAAGACAGTTCTGAGCATGTCCAGTCAGTAATTATCAGTTATTAAATCCAATCCAATCCAATCCAACTTTATTTGTTAAGCACTTTAAAACAACCAAAGTTGACCAAAGTGCTGAAGCTAAACTAAACTATATAGCTTATCCCTAAACTACCATGTGGTGCCTCCAAAGCTGCATGTTTAAAACGCAATCTCTCCATTATTGTCAAGAATCCAAAATGAATTCTGCGTGGCTCACAAGTTTCCTCCATTTTGTGCTAACAAAGCGAACAACAAGCCTGCCTGATAAATACACACACATCTCTATATAAGGTTCACTAACATTAACCAATGCATGCAATAAATGCTCCTTTTTATTTGTACAAAAAACGTGCTATTACATCATTTAGAATAGTCTTGCTTCCATACTTTGCTGCTCTGTATGTTTGTATGTATCTTTTATGTCCAAGCATTACCTTCTCCACTCTATTTAAAATGTCTGTGTGATCCGATTATTCTTTCTCTCTGTTTACCCGCCAGATTACGAGCAGTGACTGCAGTCTCTCACTTTTTGCTAATTAGATTGTCACATTGTCTCACACCTCTGCAAATATTGAACACCCTGCCTCCGACTTGTTCGGAGTCAAATAATGGTATTACAGGAAGGAGAATGTACTCTCTGTTTCTCTGTCCAATGCTAACACAATCACCACAACACAGCAGAAAAAACTCTCTGTTTGGCTCTGTGTGTGTTTGTTGATGCAGAGTAGTTGATGTGTGTTAAAGTCTGTGTGTGATACATTGCCATGCCTCCCTGTTTGACTAGCTGTTTTCCCACTGTTTATCTTCCAGCACTCACACGGAAACAATACAGTAGCAGAAAGGGATTCACATCCATTCTTAAGCCGTTTGCAGCCAAAGAGCTAAAAGCTGGCTGCAGAATCACAAAACTCCCTCTTAAAACAGCATTCATCTCCAGCCTCAGGAAGCCAAATATCAGATCTCTGGAGGCTGAGATAAATCCCACATGATCTTATCGCCAAGATTTCAGCTTTTCAAAGGACTGTCTGCCATCTCTGAGCTTATCATCGGGACACAATGTAACCAAGATCTTACGCTTGAGATGAATGTTCTTCTTCAATGTAATCCGCTGCAGGTTAAAAATATGCAATATCATGAAGGATAGATGAGGTACTATATCCAACATGCATAATATATGATGATTAAATCCATGCTGTATGTAGGGCTTTGAATAGGAATTCCTCAGCCTCAGCATTTTAGATACATTTCACAGATCATGTTTTCAGGCGAGCTCATGTCTTATTAGGAGGAGCCAAGTAGCCCCGGCTCCCCTGTCGTTTGCACCCTGCAAACACTTCTTTTCGCTATCGATTAAAGTAATCTAGCCATTACTGTCTTGATTAATCGAGAAATCTGTTTGTCAATAAAATGCCAGAAAAAGTCTTAGTAGACGTCTTCAAATGTTTTGTTTTGTCTAACCAACAGTCCAAAAGCCAAAGATATTCTAATATATCATAAGATATAAGATAAGACAAAGAAATGCAGAAAATCCTCACATTTGTCAAGCTGGAACCAGCAATTTGTTTTTGTTAGAATTAGAATGAATCCATTATCAAAATTATTGCAGAGTAATTTTCTGACCAAGATTGACTAATGGATTAATCAGCTACTTGTTTCAGCTCTTTCAGCTGTTTCTAACACTTATGTAATCTTTGGTGGAGTTTTAAACCTTATTTTCATACATTAAATGCAGTTTTTGCCAGTGTACTCCCCTTAAATTCAAGAACTTTTTTTTTAAACCAACCACAAGTACAACAAAGATGATCTTTCTTGTTTCAAAATAACACTTGTGTCTAGAAATATCCCCCAAAGTGGGAAAGGCAAACTTGTCTTATAAAGCACCATATCTGCCTAAGTCTAGACACAGTGTGAGACTAACTTGTGTCAGCCATTTTTGGGATTACAATGCTTATTGCTCCTACCTGGCTGATGCAAATGTTGATGCTGGCACATCCATAACAATGTGTCATGCCATGGTGCTTATCCAAAGGGATCCGCTACACTGTAATGTACTGCATCACACAAGACAGCTCTGGTCCACACATACTAACACAGCAGCGTGTGTTGTTCGTTCAGCCAGTGCATCACCCCCCTGTTTACTCGTGATGATCGCCCGTCAACCTGTGGTAAAACTCACCGGCATTAACGGAGGACACCGACAGGACGCCCAGCAGGAGCAGCAGCACCGCCGCAGACAAGCCTGGTTTAGCCATCCTCCTGCTTCTTCTAGCGAGGCATCACATCCTGCGCGGCCCATTTATAACATCCCATTTAACGGGATGGAGCCGGAGAGGGGGACTTGTTGTGCCAGGCGACGAGGCTCACCTGAACTTGGACGCTGCAGCAGCAGAAGCGCAACCACAGCCAGAGGAGGAGGAGGAGGAGGAGGACAGGGGAGGGGTTGGTGGTGGTGGTGGTTTTAGATACCGTGCTCGTTGTCGGTGGAGCTAGCGATGGCCCTCAGACCACCGGCAGACTGGTGACGGAGCGGCGGCGTGGAGAGGCTTTACTACGCGGAGAGGTGAGCGGAGCGTAAAAGGCGTGCGCAAGTGCTGCAGAGTGCAACGTGCAGCCACAGCTAATGTCTCTCTCTCTCTCTCTC